TAAATCTGACGGTGAATGCAGTATCTGTTTTCCTGTCAAGAGATCATTGACAATATTAATACCTCATGTCCTTGCTTCATTTTCTAAGAGCTGACACCTCGCTGCCGTCTCCTGAATTCATCAAACAGCACTCTCTCCCTGGGATGTCGAAAAGCAGTTTTGCTTCTAGGCCTGAAGAAACAGGGTACACCTCAAAAAGGGCTTTTATCAGAGCCAGCCTGAGAAAGAGACCCTGGGAATGCGCTTAATAAACATTTCATGCCCCTTCAATTTAGAGACCAGGCCGTAAGAAGCCCCAGCCCACATTCCAAGATGATTCCTTGTTCCATTTGGCATCTGATTATATGAGATCCAAATTGGAGATTCACACCAGAGATCAGCTTAGGGAAGGTAATCATGTCCCTAGATGCTAAAGTGGCAACAGTGGTCATCAGGGAAGAAAGAAAAGAGAGAGAGAGAAAGAGAGAGAGAAGGAAGGAAGGAGGGAGGGAGACAGAGAGAAGCAGTAGAAGGAGGAGAAGGAGGAGAGAAAAGAAAGGAAGGGGAGAGGGAGGGAGAAGGAAGGAAAGAGAGAAGGAGAGAGGGAGAGAGAAAAAGGGAAAGAAAGAGGGAGGGAGAGAAAAAAGTAAGGAGAGAGGTAAGGAGAAGGAAAGGAGGAAAAGAGAGGAGGGAAGGAGAGAGAGAGAAGCAGGGAAAAAGAGAGTGAGGGAAGAGGGAAAAAATGGAGGCAGAGAGAAAAGGGGGAGGGAGGAAGGGAGAAGGGAGGGAAGGGAGGGAGAAATGGGGCGGGGGTGCTCACAAGGATATGGTAACTCAGACGTTTGTGGTTTTACTCAAAAGGACAAATGTGTTTTTTATGAAATATGACAACCTTATCCATTTCTTTTCATAAAAATTCACTCTGTCCCAATGCTGTACGAAGAAATTAACATCCTGCAGCCCTAGCTTTCTAGGTTCTTGAGTAGCTTATTTGAATCAATTATATTGGAAGGAGCCTGGGTGAATTTTGAATAGCATCTGAAATTCCTCAGGTCTTGGTGCTACAGGAAATACAAACCCCGTCACAAAGCAGGATTTGCTCCACAAAACCTTGTTCAGGGCAAGAAAGCCCATTTTTTTTTTTTAACAATTTAGAATGCAAGTCAGCAAAAATGTTTATTCCATACATTTTATTACAAGCGTGGGCAAGGAGAAGGTTCAAATGGCACATGGAGAGTGTGTCTCTATGGGGCAAGCAGTTTTCTGAATATGAATCATTTCTGACAGTTACATACAATGCATGGAAAATGTATAGTCATAACTGGTCCATGACTGGTCAATGATTGGCTTTGCAGGCAGTTTGTTGTATTGCAAGGGAGAACAGATAGAGTTTCTTGTCTGCTAATCAATTGTTGGCTTTGGGCATCCTAGACAGTGTGGAATTTATCTCTAGGTTATCCTTACACATGGCGTAGGGTGAAATAAGGCATAATAATAGGGGTTTTCAGTTTAACACTGTAATTGAGGCTTTTTCACCCTAAAACATCCTTCTTTATGACAAAGAAGAATAATATAGCATGTTATTCTTCCTGCTACCAAAGAACCAAAGTGCACGTGCCCTCTGCCCTGGAAGCTAACTCAGCATAGGATGCAGAGCTGCTCTGCACTGCCCACCAAGTGAAATCTCAGAGGTCCCCTCTCCTCTGCTAAAAGTAGCTTTCTAAATGTGTCCACTTTGTCCATACTCCGTGGTTCCAGGCTGCAGATGCCTATTGAAAATTCAAAGCCTTGGGTCTGGCTAACATGCAGGAGGTAAGATCATGAATTGTGTAGTTGAAGGAAAGTGACCTCCAGAAACATTATCCAAGTTTTAGGGAACCCGATGGGAAAAGACTACTCTTCCATTTCATGGCAGAGGTCATCACCTCTGATGGTGACCACAGGTTCTTGAATCTTCTGCGAGTGGCCCATAGCCTCTGGCAGCTCCTTTCATCTAGGAAAGCTTTGGAGTATGGGTCTGATATAGATAGTATGTCTAGTTTTTTTGAGGACCAACTCAGCTCAGCTCAAAGGAGTTACTTCCTGAGCTGGTCACTGAATGGTAAATTTTTCAGCCATAGCAATTATTAAAGACAATCCATGTAACTAGGCATGGTGACACAGTCCAGTAACCTGTTGTTGAGGAGTCTAAGGATTATGGATCACATAAGTTAAGGAGTTCTTAGCTGTAGTATGCTAAGCCAACTGGGTGTTAGCAGTGTCTGGAACCAAAATGGTTAGTCTCCAGGAGTTGGAGACCAAAAAGGGGTAAATTGGCCAAAGTGCAGGTTGAAGTTTCTGTGCAAATGAATATTGGGCCCATTAGTGACTGCTGCACTTCCAAATTGGGCTGGAGAGAAGAGACCGGAAGTCCTATCAATTTTACAAAAGAAATCTGTGTCACTTAGTTTTGGTATTTCTTCTAAAATCAAATCAAATTAAATGAGACCTGATAAGAGGGAATGATTATAAATGATAAATATTGGGGTATAGAAAAATTTAATTCCTCTTAATTCTTATCATTATTTTTATAGGAGTATTTGATTTTTTGATAGGAGAGTGAGCTGAAGAGGGGGTTTGGAAAATAAGGAATGAATTGATTTAAATGTGTGAGTAGGGACTATTTATGGCCTTCCATAATCTCCATGTATAGAAGTATTATATTTAGAGCCACAGCATTTTTTCACATTTATTTGATCATGGAAACGAAATACATGTGTCACCAGGACATGCTGACACACCTTGGGATGTACCTTGGATATCTGTGGATGTCAACCACCCATGGGATAACTGCGTCTTAGACCCAAACTATGATAATCTAGGAAAGTGTCATTTCCTTGAATATCCTGAATATTCAGTTCATCAATCCAGGATTCCTTCCAGTGTATAGATCAAAACAGCTTCTCATCAAGTGATAATAAAAATTCAATGAAATCTAATTTATTAAATATTTATGGAACGCCTACTATGTGCTAAGCATTTTTTTTTTGTTAAAAAAGACAAAAGCAGTCTTTGCCCTCAAAGAGTAACTGGTGTATACTAGATGTTTAATAAATGTTTGTTGACTGATTGGTAGTTATTTTGTACTTGGTGTTTTCTCCCAGTACAATGTAAACTTCTCAAGGGTAGAAACTATTTCATTTTTGTCTTTGTATAGAAAGGAAAAAGGGGAGGGAGGGAGGGAGGGTGGAAGGAAAAAGAGAGCAAGGGAAGGAGACAAAGAAGGGAAGGCAGGAAGGACAGAGGGAGTGAGATAAAAAAGAAAGGAAGAAGGGAGGGAAGGAGAAAGAAAAAGAGGGAAGGAAGTAATAACTGTTTCAAGATATTCCTATTTCTTTCGAGTTGCATTGCATCAATAGCATCACCACTAGGAGCAGCTAGGTGATTCAGTAGATAGAGTGGTGACCCTGCAATCAGGAAAGCCTTAATTCAAATCTGGCTTGAAATGTGTTTATGTGACTCTGGGCAAGTCACTTAACCTGCGTATGCCTCACTTACCTTAACTTAAAATGGGGATAATAATAGCACTTACTTCCTGGAGTTGCTGTGAAGATCCCATGAGATGATATTTTTAAAGCTCTTAGCAAAGTGTCTGGCACAAAAATATGTGCTAAATAAATGCTTGTTTCCTTCCTTCCTTCCTTCCTTCCTTCCTTCCCTCCTTCCTTCATTTTTCTATTTCTGGAATTACTGTAGTAGGTATAGGTGGCATTCTAGCTCTCTAAGTATTTCAAAGGCTCTTAAAACAGTGCCTGACACATAGTAGGAACTTAATAAATGTTTATCATCAATCTGCTTAGCTATCACATGGAAGAAGGAATAGATTTGTCTTAGCTGGCAGCACTAGAAGAAATCGGTAGAATTAGTAGAAAGGCAAGTTTAGGCTTAAGGTAAGGAAAATCTTACTGACTATCATTTAAAAAATACAATGGGCTGCCTTGGGAGGTAATGAGTTCCCCATCACTAGAAATCTCCAGGGAAAAGTTGGATGCCCACTTGTTAGATATGTTATGGAAGGAATTCTTGTTCAGAGATGAGTAGGCCCAGATGGACTCCAAGGTTACTTCTGGCTCTGAGATTCTGTGATGCCATAGAATGGCAGATGTGTACAAGGGAGGGGAGTATCAGGGTTATGCTGGGAAATGTTTAACAACCAGCTCTCAAATAAACAAAACCATAAAAACACGCTAGATACACTTTTATGTTTAATTGGCATTATTAACATTTTCTCTCTCTTTTTTTCAAGTCTAGACAATCAACAAAACAACAAACAATTTATAATGTTGGCTGATTTTAGGGGCATAAATGCTCACAATGAAAATTTAACAATCAGGAATGCACAGGAGCTGGCTCCAGCACATGCCTGGAGAGTATTGGGTTTTTTTTGTTTTGTTTTGTTTTGTTTTCGATAGCTTACCTGCAACCCTGCACTAAATCATCCCCTGGCATCTTTTGGTGGTATGGTGGTAACTCAGGGTTCTCAAAGACTATAACTCTGGCCTTGGCAAGTCTTACCAGGCTGAAAAGGTTTTGAATCACATGCCTGGTGTCAAACTGAATATCTGTTTTCTTAGGACCCGTTATCCCCAGGTTGAGTGCAGGGTCATGCATCCTGCAGGCACAGGCACCTTTATCCACCATCGACTAGGTCAGAGAGAGGGGTTGCAATCTGCCCTGGTGGATGGAGGGCTCACATCAACAAAATCATAGATCCTGGAAATACGGTGAATAAGGATGGCGGTAAGTCTCTATAAACCCGTTGTGAGCATACAAACCATAGATGAGGGCAAAGCATCCCCAGGTGCCGTGGGGCTGCCTGCAGAGTGGCAGCTCTGAAGACAAGAAGATAGAGTACTTCCTTTCTGCTGCTTAATTCGTTTGCTGCCAGCAGCTTGATGTGAGAAACCATTACCCCCTGCTCCCTGCAGCTCCCCCTCTACCCACTGCAGCACCTCTAATAATGTGTTTCCTTTTATTTGCAGGTGTTCTAGGAAGGTGTCACTATGTTTACTATGGGAAAAACTCCGAGGGCAACAGGTTTATTCGAGATGATCAGCTCTAAGGCTGAGACCAGCCTGCCTGGCCCAATTTCATGAGAATAAGTAGCAGGAAGAAAAAGAAAGAAACAAAGAAAAGAAAAAAGGAAAAAAAGAAGAAAAAAAAAAACCTAGCCAACCCAACTAATGTTTGCACCATCAAGGAAGCCGCCTCAGTGCTCTAGTACCTTCTGCTGACTTTGCCAGGCCTGTCAAGATCATCCTTCTGTCTCAGTCTGAGTCGTCACATAGAGATTGACATGATTGCCTTTAAGCAGGTCTCATCCACCAGCATGACAGACAGCTGCAGCCAGGCATCGGGGCTGACAGCATGAACACCATGATAGATTGCCTGGTCCATCCACAGCTCGCTGGGGAGCAGAGGTCACACCTGGGGCCCCTGTGAGCATGCTCAGTTAGCTTTTGCCAGTCAGAGAGACTCCCGTCTTCAGCTTGCCTGTTGAGTGAGAGTTTTGTGGAATATCCAGATGGTTTTTACAAAACAAAAATGGTTCTGATGGTGGGGAAGGGCAGGAAGGCCTCAGTCCCCATCTATGTTTCCACAAGGTAGATGCTCACATTTCACACACATATACATGTAGAACCCCTCCCACTCCTACCCTCTCCATCCTCCCCCCCATCCTCCCCCCTTCTTCCCCCGCCCAGCTCCCAAAGCATCTTTATCATGAGCTGATCTTCAAGGTCTATCATTTCTCTGAGGAAGGATATTTGCTGTCAGGGATATTTCGTGACTTGCTTCCAAATGATACAAACTCCCAATTTTAGTAAATATTTTTCCCCATGTCCCAAACCAAATCAGTGGGCTCTAGGTCAGTGAAGGCTTCCACATCCCAGACTTAGATTTTGCTCCCTCTCCAGAACCAGGTCTTACTGTGGGTATTCTGGTGGCAGGCCTGTTTCTTTCATCACCCATATTTAAAAACTTGCCTCTGTCCATACTTGTGTTACTGTATTTCTTGTCAGATTTTGTCTTCTGGTCTAGACATAATCGCAAGACTAGGTGTGCCTGTCTATACCTGGTTCACCCGTCCTTAGGGCATCTGATTTGGGATTTTTTCTTAAGTCACTAAGAGATAAGAAGTAGAATGAGTAAAAAAAAAATGAATTGAAGGGAGAAGAAAACATCCCCCTCCCCTCCCCCCTTGAACATCACATCCAGGAGCTATCAGGAACAAAATCTGTAATGTTTGAGTTGGGATGGTATCTTTGAGTATCCATGATGGTTTTGTAATAATGATACCACTTGGGATGAGTGATCTTGAGATTTACATGTGAAGTACACTTGAAAGATAATTGAGGAGATAGTTGATGAAACAGGAAAAAAAGCCTTGGCTTTTTTTTTTTTCTTTTCAATTTAAATTCAGACCAAGTACTTAGCATCCTGTTATCTGTACAGGCTTCCCAAAGCAAGATTAATTGAGGGTTGGTCAGATCTAAAATAGGAACCTTTCAAAGTGCAAACCTGAAGGAGAATCCCACTCTAGGTTGGCAAATACCAGGTCTTTCCAGTAACCAATTGGCCATCCCATTTTGATGGGTATGTGAGGCCATGGACCTTCCATGCCCTTGGGTGGACAATCTGGCACTTACCTTTTGAAAAGAGTATAGATTTACAAGAGTTCCTGGCATAAGGATTCAACACAGGGCAAATGAATTGCCCATAAGTCAGCAGACGTAAGTGGCAAAGTTTCTATGTTGATTATACAGCCTTCACTAATTAATTACTTAGACAAATGTATAATGTGGTCCTTAAGGAAAAAAAAAAAGAATTAGAGGGGTTTGGTTTTTGTATTTTTCCCTTGGGCATAAATAATGGGAGAGAAAGTACCTTTCTCTCTGATCTGAACAATAGCACTAAGGGAATGCCTTGAGTTAGCTGCATTTGAACCCCACCCTGGCTCTTCGCTGAGAAACATCAACACATGTTTTGTCCACAACATATTATGGGCAGTAAGAGTTCTGGGCAAGGCCAGCAAGACTAGTCCAATGTCATATCCAATCTGGCAACACATATGTCCTTGTCTTTATAAAAGGCTTTAACCCTGCCTCAAACAATAAAAAAGCACTTGCGAACTGACCACAGAATTTTTCCATCTTTATTTTTCTTACTTGTTTACTTTTCTTAATGTCAGAACCATTTGTATCAAGTTTAGGAATGTCTCCCTCAATGCAAGCTTTAGAGGCACAAATATTTTTGGAATGAGCTGTGGACCCCATTCATGCCTCTCCCTGTGTGGTGTTTACTTTTTGTTTGTTTGTTTGTTTCCTCCCAAATGGTGTAGTAACTTGAATTAAGATTAGCTTAATTATAATTTCTGAAAAGGTCGCCCCTCCCCTCTTTTCTTCTTGAACAAGGTGTAGTAAGCTTGGCTCTCCCTTTCAAAGGGATGATGGTGATAAATTCATGGGCAGTTGCTGATGGCTATGTCAGTTCCCTGAGCATCTTTTGCTGGAGGTTGGACCTCAGGGTTCAGCCTGACCTGTCAGCAGTGATATTGATTGGTCACATGGCCCCAATGGGGTTTTCCTAATTCTGAATTTTCCAAGTAGTTAGAGAAGCAATAGGGATATAAGGCATATATAATTTTCTCTACACCCCAGGATGAAATCAGGCAAAACCCTGTCCTTCTTCCTTTGGGAAGGGTTCCCCTCCCTTACCCTATTCTAGACCCCTGGCTGCTTGCTATGCTGAACCTTTTCGTCATGAAAAATAATGTCCTCTGGTCTCCCTATACCCCAAGAGCTTGCTCTGACTTTAGAGACACAGAAAGGCCAGGGACTCAACTAAGGCAAATTGAGGACTGAGCCTTCCAATGCCTCAGGGAATGTTAGTATAACTGAGCTCCTTTCTAAGCAACATAATTTTATAGGACAATTTGTTCCTTGAGAAATTATGCTTCAGATTGTAGGAATCTTATTAAAAGTACAACTATTGCAATCACTTACATTTACTCTTACCAGCCTTGCTCATAAAGCCTCCATCTGTGTGTTTCTTTAAATAGATACACATTAGAAGAGATTATCTCTGGATGGGCTATGTCTCTGGGTGCTGTATGTTTTCATGTATTCATGTGTACCAAAGAATAAAAGAAAAGCAAAACACAGTTTCTGGATGAAAGCCCTTTATTTTTCCCCCAGCAGAGTTGTATCTCACACATTTTCAAGGGGAAATGTTTCTCTTGATGTTAGTAGGAAAAACACTACACTGCCTTTTTCTTCTTTGGTAATATGTAGATCAAAAACTAGAAGTAACAGTATCTTTTGATCAAAACAATAATGATGTTCATTACTTTCTTCTGATACCAGTCATCCATGTTGGTCCTTTGTCTCTGGTTGGGGCTTGGAGGAATGGTGACAAGGCTTGAGATCTGATCCTGCCTCTACCACTAACTAGCTAACGGACCATGAACAAATGAATTCCCCTCCCCGGGCCTCAGTTTCTTCATCTGTATTAGGATAAGACCAGGTCCAAAGAATGTCAAATTCTCTGTAATGTTCTATGATTATGAGATAATGCCTCCCATTGAAAACTCCATCCATATCTTCTGACCATTTTACCTGATTCCAATCTGACATTGCTTAATTGTCTATTCTACTTCTGTTAGAGGGTCTTAATTTTAGAGGTGGGAAGATTCTTAGATGTCACCTAGTCTAACACCTTCCCTCCTCATTTTATAGATGATACGACTGAGGCTCAGAGCAGTTTAGTGACTTATCCAAGGTTATATAGCTAATAAGTAGCAGTTAGAATTTGAACCCAAGTCCTCTGACTTCAAATTCAATACCCTTTTCCATTGCACCCAAGAATAACGGATACTTTATATATGTATGTATGTATATAATATATATGTGTGTGTGTATGTGTGTATACATACATACATATATATACACACAAAAATTCACATACATGTATATATGCATATACATATATACATATATATATAGAGAGAGAGAGTCTTTGTAGAGTGACCAAATATTCTACTTTGAATATAACTTTTTTTTCCACAATGAAATAATTGCTCTGAAGAAAAGTGCTTATGCGAATGCAGGTGTTAGGCCATTTACCTGCCCTATGTAGCAACTGGGTCAATGACCCCTGCAGATACTTGTGGAGTATCTTACTACTTTTTAATGTTGCTCAGTCATTTCTGTCATGTCTGACCGTTTGTGGCCCCATTTGGAATTTTCTTGGCAAAAAAAATAGTTTTCCATTTCCTTCTCCAGTTCATTTTACAGATGAGGAAACTGAGGCAAACAGGGTTAAGTGACTTTCCCAGGGTCACACTGCTAGTAAGTGTCTGAGTCTAGATTTGAATTCAGGAAGATGAGTCTTCCTGACTCCAAGCCCAGCACTCTATGTACTATGGCAGCCCCTTGCTGCCCCTTATTACCTGTAGGGAGAGCAAATAGGTGCCTAAATAGCATTTTAGTGGCATTCAAGGCCATCTAACCCTAACATCTCTCCTACTATGTGCCAGGCACTGTGCTCAGTTAAAGGGATACAAAAGCAAACACACAATAGCCCCTGCCCTCAAGGAGCTTACATTCTAACAGGAGAAACAAAAAGTATATCTACATCTATATACAAAATATATACAAGTTGGGAGGGAGGGAGTACTAGCATCTGGGTGAATCTATAAAAGCCTCATATAGAGGGATGCATTGGAGCTAAGCACTGAAGGAAGGGGGCAGCTAAGTGGCGCCATAGTGCATAAAGTGCTGGACCTGGAGTCAGGAAGACTCATCTTCCTGAGTTCAAGTCTGACCTCAGACACTTACTAGCTATGGGATCCTGGGCACTTCACTTAATCTCTGTCTTTCTTGGTCTCCTCAACTGTAAAATGGGGATAACAATAGCATTTACCTCCCAGGGTTTTTGAGAGGATCAAATGAGATACTATTTTAAAGTGCTTTGAAAACCTCACAGCGCTCTATAAACACTAGCTATTATATGTATGTGTGCTTTAAGGATGAAATTATAAAGATTAATTTGGCTACAGCATATAAGATAAACTGGAGTAAGACAGGTTGGAGAAGTAGAAGAGTTAGGAACTGATTCAATAATGCGAGAGTAAGGAAAACTTGAACCAAACTTGGCATTTGGAATCAAGAGAAGGGATTCAAGGAATTGGAGGGGGAGAAATGATAGGTCCTAGCAGCCATTTGGTGAGTGCTGAGGAAAAGAAAATTTCCAAAGATGATTTGAGTTTCCAGGACTAAGTAAGTGAAAGGTTGATAATAGACAGTGGCATCATTTAAGGAAATCATCAAGTCAAGAACAGGTACCAAGGGAAGATTATAAAATCAGTTTTGGACAGGTTGAGTTGTAGGTATGATTATGGTATCCAAGTAGAGCTATCCAGGAAACAATTGGAAGTACTAGCTCAGATTTTAAGAGGGAGGGAGGGTAGAAGAGAGACAGAGACAGACAGAGACAGACAGAGAGATTATAATTAAAGCCTCTAGAATGGACAAAATTACCAAGAGAAAACCTGGAAAGAGAACTTTGGGAGATGCCAACTTAGAGGGATCAGTTGTCTTTCTCATTAGAATGTGAGTTCCTACTGAGTAGGAATTGTTTCTTTTTTTGCATTTATACCCCCAGTGCCTGACACATAGTAGGTGCAATGGTTGTTGATTAAGGAGGTAAAGGGACCATTGAAGGGGATAAAGAAAGGAGTAGTAGGATAGGATGTAAAGAGGTCTAAAATGATAATGTAGTGGATAGATTCTTCTTATTTCTGACTTCTGAGCTGGAGAGAAGTTCTCTGGACAGTCCATTACTTGACAGTGTTAATTCCTTTTGTCCCAAGTCTTTGTTCTCCGACAAATGAAACTTCTGTTCTGTTTTTGAGGATATTCTGGTTTTGAGCTTGGGCTTTATAAAACTACACACACTCCAGAGAGTGGTGAGCTGAGGATGCATTTGGGAGAGGAAGAGCTATACACAGACTTGGACTTCATTCGCTATTCCCTTCATGGAGAACTGCATAGTCATATGGTCCCTCTAAGACATGAGATAAAGAGATCTTAAATGAAAAGTCATTGTACCTAAATAGAGCTCCTGAATCAAGGAATCAGAATGTAAGAACTACATGGCACTGAGCTGCATTGACTGTTTATGGGTTTGGGTACAAGAAATTCATGGTTTTTTGTTTTTTTTGTTTGTTTTTGTTTTTTTGTCAAGTGAAGTCCATCCTATATTTGATGTCTTGTTAGCTTGAGTGGTTGCATGGGAGCTGATTCTCTCTCTGTCTCTTTGGTTCTTTCTGTCTGTCTCTGTCTGTCTCTTTATTATTCTCTCTACTCTCCTCCCCTTCTCTCCTTTCCTCTCTCCCTTCTCCCCTCTTCCTATCCCTTCTCTCTCTTGCCTCACTCTGGGACACCCTGAGTGGTACATGTGCCAAAGACATTTTAGAGAGAAGTCTCTAAGTTTGAACACAATCAGAGTGCCCAGAAATGAGGCAAAGAACTATGGGGTACAATGATAAAGGTTTATGTTTATGTAACACTTGGCAATTTGCAGAGTATGGTCCTTGTAACAGTTCACAGAGGTAGGTAGTACAAGTATCATGCCTAATTTACATGTGAGGAAACTGAAGCTTGCAGAGGTTAAATGATTTGTTAATGAGGTTAATGAGAGATTTTTAAAGATCCTAAATATAGCAAGTGGTAGAGATAGGACTCAAAATCATGAAAACGAAGGTAGGAGAAAACTACAAAAAGGCTGGAGTGATCAATGGTGTCAAATGTAGTAGAGAATGAAGAATGAGAAAAGACCTGGATTTGGTGATTAGGAGGTGATTTGTGACTGCTGAAAGGCACCATCAGGAGAATCATGGGAGCAGAAGCCAAATTGCTTGGCACTAGGGAATGAATGAGAGGTGAGGAAATGAAAGCAGTGGGATGGGAGAGCTGAAGGGAAAGAGGCAGATATAAATCGAGGGGACAGCATGGTCCTAGGGAGGAATTTTTGCTTATTTTATTAGGTTAAGGTGATCCATGCGGGCAAGAAAAATACTTGGCAAATTATCTAAAGGCCTTTGTTTCCAACAATACACACAAGACCATACCACA